TTATCGCGAGTCAATGTGTAGGAAAGTACATGTTTTATTATTTTTAAATCATGATATTTCATTTTTATAGAGTAACGTTGTAATTTTGTTTCTTTAGTAACTCAATAATGCTTATATATCCAATATATTTCTTATTCTTAGCTAAATTTTGCTTCTGCATTACATTCAATAATACAAACGATATCGGGATAAATTAAAAATAATCATTGAAATAAAACAAAAATTTGTACTCTTATCAATGTAAATTTCTTTTATAGTACATTATTACTATCATTATTATTATTATTATTATTATTATCATTATCATTATCATTATCATTATTATTATTATTATTATTGTTGTTGTTGTTGTTGTGGTAAGTTAAGTTGATTATTGCCACAATGTTTTGCATCATCAATAATACCGATAAAATTTATAATGAATTTAAAAATCAAACTTTAATACAACACATTAGCAGCTTGAATTTTAAGCTAGAATACATAAAAATATATATACATATATTATGCATTATTACCCTCTGTGTGTGCGTGTGCGTGTGCGTGCGTGTGTAGCTGTATTATTGTAATATAATTTTCATGTGAACGTACAAATAAAGTTAACTCGTCGAGATATATCTCAATATTGTTGGAAAAATAAGAAAGTTGTCGAATATCGATTAAATGCCATTTGTATCACACATATTATTGAGTTGAAAATGTCGAAATCGTCCTTGATTTTATGAATGAAGCCGGCAACCACAATGATAATCGAATTTGTCGCAAAGTTGCGAGACTGATGATACTCACGAATCAGAATTCTCACTCTCCGTCTCGGACTCTTCGCTGCGTTGTGACTTCCATTTCTTATACCTGTCAATCAGGTCAATCAGGTACGAGTTCTTCTTTGCCTTTCTGATAAACTGAAACTTCAGCAGCTCCTTGGCCGTCGGCCTCTGTAACACGTTGAAAGGAAACTGACGTCATAGGCACTCCTTTAAAGAGGAAAATCTAACTGGTTCTTTCTATCGACTAACTCCATGGACTTCGCTATTTACGCCTAATGAATGATAATTTTGCAAAGGATAGATGAGCAAGTATTTTTATTAATGTGTTTTACTCGCGTTACGATGTCATTACATTGCATTATTTATTATCAATTGATTGCCAAGATATTATAATAACTATCTCAATAATGTCTATTTAATAATTGTTAACTAACTTATATATTTTCACGGCTTCACATCTATTGGGCCATTACGTCGTAAATTATTTATTGAGTCGCGTAACTTTTGAGGTTCTTTTTTTTTTTTTTTTTATCCATACGTGAAAATAGTGTAACGTGAAATCAACAAAATTGCTCCTGGAAATTGATTCGAAATTAATGTTTCGAAGAAGAATATAAAAGTTATTGTTATTGTCTCGCGAACTCGTTTAATTGCAAATGAAAATTGAAAAATGACATGACGACGAGACGAATGGAAGTGATAGACATAACTAAATCAGATAATAATGCAAAAATGTTTTATTATCATTTTTCTTTTCTTCTATCGTATTACAAGTTAACCCATTAATGTGGCAAATACGAAAATCCTTAAAATGTCAAGAAGCTCCGAAACATATTTTACGAAATCAAATTAACCAGCCTTATGCAAGTAGAGATGAATTACAAATAGATATCAACAGTATTTTCAATATTCTTCTTTTTCATCCAATCACGAGCGACAAAGTTAACCGTTAAATTCCGAAACGTCATGATTTTATGAATAAATTATAGAAAGGATTAATTTTATTGCAAGCTTAAACGATTCAAATAATGCATACTTCCAGAGATAATGACTCGCTTAATATGAGACATGCGACACACGTACAAACGACATTTTTAACGAACCGGTGCGCAAATATTTTATATCGTTTATCAAGTTGGTAACGCGATACAATGACTTTGAGCGCATTTCATTGCAAATATATTTCAACGAAATATTCATACGATTTTTTCTATTAAATCGTATGCTCGAACTCTCTCAAACAATCGGGGCATTTTGTTTTTCCAAACAGCAACAATTATCCCTCCGTTCCCCAAATAAAGTCACCGCCCAACCAACGCCTCGAACTTTCCTTCAACGATTCGCGCGAATCGCGGTCACCCCCCCCCCACTCGACAATCCGCAATCCGCCAATCGACCATTCCAATAATCTCACAAATTGCACGCACAGAATTTATCGTTCGTTTCGCCAAGTCTTCCCATCCGCTAAACACGAAGCTAAACATGGCCGACAATCGGTGGCAGGGACTTTCTTGGAAATTTATTTCCGGCTGGTTAACGCCGACACGTGGGCAGTATTAAACAAGGGAGAGGGAAGCGCACGGAAATTGAAACGCAATTTTACGATTTCGTACGCGTCGTGTGCGGCTAAACATACGAAATGTCAATGGGGGCCGAATTGGCAAGGAGGAAGCTGAATTGGCGAGCGATTGTTTCCGGTGGTGCAGCTACACACTAGTCAGCGGATCATTTTGGACTGACTTTGGAGCGAGCTAATTATCGCGATCGGGCGAGCTCGTTTCGCCAACGAGAGCGACGACAAAGGCCTTGATAACCCAGCGGTAACGAGTGCGAATAACGAGCGTTGCGAAAGAACGGGCGCGGATTCGCCGAAGCGAGTCAGCGGATTGTAATGCTGCCCGCGAACTATATACGCCGCTTGGCTAGCGTAATTATTATTATTATTATCCTGTACGTTAGACATCCGCGCTCTCCTCTCTCGGCTTTGCTTTTTATTTAAAGCCAGCACTCCTTAAACTAGGATGGTTGGAGATGAGCGGAGGTGGTTGTTGTTGCTGTTGCAGCCGCCGTTATCTCTCTCTCTCTCTCTCTCTCTCTCTCTCTCTCTCTGTCTACCCATCTATCTATCTATCCCGTACTTCAATCTCCTTCAAAATCGTCGCGATGTGCACTTACGTTCTCCGGATCTTTATTGAGGCAGGCCTCGACGAACTCCTTGAACTGCTTGGTGTAGTTGCCGGTGAGCTGGGGCGGGTTGTTCTTGGGAATGAGGAAGAGGACCCTCATGGGATGGAGCTCGCTGTTGGGCGGTTCGCCCTTCGCCAGCTCGATGGCCGTAATGCCGAGCGACCAGATGTCGGCCTGAAAGTACGCGAAATTTCATTTAATTAGCGGTCCTTCATAGATGAAGATTTTTTTCGGCTGCCGCCCTGGCTAAAACAACCGTTTTTCATGCGTCAGGTCTATTGCAACGACGCCGTTAAAAATCTCGTCATTTTTAAGATCAGTCCGTTATCCTCGTCGTCATCGTCATCTTCATCGTCATCGTCATCGTCAGCGTCATCGTCAGCGTCATCGTCATCGTCATCGTCATCGTTATCCGCATCGTCATCCTTACGCGCATTTATTGTTAATAATTCGAGGATGGCCGCAGAGGATTTTCACGTTGTGCCAATGTGCGTCGGGCACAGTAATAACAATCGGAATGGAAATACGCCATCGACGTGGCCAGCTGTCATTTAAGAGAGTTACCGTTTAACTTCTGTTAATACCGAACGAAGCTCGAATTTTTATGGGATTTGTTGCGACGAGTGACTGCTAAGTTTACCGAGAGTGTCGAAAACTAAACAATTGCCCGTAGGAACAATTTACACGTAAAACAATTTTTGTCTATGCATTATTATTGTTTTATTGACAAAGGCTTATAAGCGCGAGAATTATTTATCGGATGGCTAGTATTGGTTATGATTCAGCCGTGACTCACATAATCGTCAAACGCTTTATTTTTACATTCAAATGACTCTTTAAAATGCTATTTGAATTTGCCATCTTTTACTAATCCATTCGTCATTTCGTATAATAATTGTAACTGTTATATATGATATAATTTGTTCGTAACTATACGAAAATAAGCTACTACGGTGCACAAAATGTATTATAGAAGCTGTCCCGATTACTTTAATGCCTTATTCATCCGTTAAAACTTAATGTAACAATGTAATAAACAGTTTATTTTAATTTATCTGACATTTGTAAATAAGTTTTTTTTTTTTTCACGAGTTGATGCGTGCTTAATCGCTATCAACATATTATGATTCATCGGATATTGATGGAATACGTTATTCGGAATAGAGAAAAATAATCGCCAATTATTATTAGATAGTAAGACAATTATTAAATTTCGTTCATTAACGAATATTTAACATTTATGGCAGTTCTATTTGACGATAAATTTACAGACGACAAACCTTTGTAATTTTTAATGCAGAGATATTGGAGTTCGTTCCCCCTATTGCTTTGTATCAATTTGAGAGACAAGTTGTTACCAACGTCCTTATGACTTTCAAACTTTACTTGCTTTTTATTTAAAATTATTATTATTATTATGATTGTTAGAATTTAATTTGAAAAGAAACAAAAAAAAAAAAAAAAAAAAAAAAAAAAAAAAAAAAAAAAAAAAAAAAAAAAAAAAAAAAAAAAAAAAACATAAATAAAGTAGAAAAACGAACTTACCACTGTTATTGCTTGCTATTTCTACTTAAAAATAATAACAAAGAGCGAGTTTGAAATTTTCTTCCGTCATCTTTAGCGTCTTTGGCAATATATGTTTTTAGTTTGATAATATTAATATCGAATGGACGACGGAGAGAATCGAGCGTTAATAGTTCAATATTGGTAATATGATCTAGCTGATAAGATTATTTTCTCAAAAAAACATGTTTTGTTTCCGGTAATTTTTGTCTCTCCCCCCCCCCGCAAACAACACACGCGATTGTTTGTAATAAAATTGATTTCAATACACGCCAGACTTATCGCGTTTAGCTCGTAATTCATCTTATTCGCATCTCGGCCCATCCCTGCCCAACCAGTACCCCCGAATCTTCTCGGAAATCCTGATCGAGCGTTTAAAATGCCACGTGACAATTTCCATTATCAACGCGTAATGCATATTCTTTAGTTTATATCCATTCCATTATTCTATTCCACGCGACAACTGAAAATCACAATTTTTCTTTCGCATGTCGCTATAACAACGTAACATAAGAGGAAAGCAATTGTATCGATCAACTAACGGCATCCCGACGATTTTGACGTTCGGTAAATATGGCTGCCCGCAAAAATAAGGCAAAGCAAGGATGAGGAATCTTGCACTAGGTACGTGGCCTTTCCCCGAATTACTTTTATTATACGATATTGCAGAGAGACTCGGGCGGTACCTTGGAATCGTAGGCTGACTGCTTGATAACTTCCGGCGCCATCCAGAATGGCGTGCCGACAAATGTGTTTCTTTTGCTGGTGGTGTTGGTGAGTTGGCCTGCCACGCCAAAGTCTGCCAGCTTAACGTCACCCATCTCGCTCAGAAGAACGTTCGCCGCTGGAAAAAGGCAGAGACATGCCAAGTTTATCATGATTATTCGATACCGCGACGATAGGTTGGTCCATTGGTGCTGTTTAAATGTTAAAGTCGAGCCGACCGACTCGAAAACTTTGTGCCCCGATAAATAAACACTCGTTTGCAAAAATTCCTTAAAACAAGATATTTGCATATTTGTGCAAGATATTTATTTATTGTCGTTTAATTATTAGGCCGAAATTCATTTACTATAGAAGATTCATAAGGCGTAATAAGTAAACGTGCCTGCGTTTATTCTTTCGAATCGAATCTTATCAATTTCAGCAGATTCTGTTCTCTTATAGAAACTAAGTTTTGTTTATTGTCAATGAAAGCGCCTCGCGCAAATTAAAATATTAAAATGATCCTTAAGATTGCCATGTAGCGATTTTCCATAGGGATAGTTTATTCCCTGTCCTTTTCTCATTATTATCTACCAAGGACGAATCAACGTATACTAACGATTAACCAACGGTAGGCCATAAATATTGAATATATTTATGTAAACGGCGGTATCCGCAGCCCATCACTTTGGCTTGTAAATAACAACGGTAAAGTCAGTCAGTCATACGCCCCAACCACATTTGTATCAATATCGTCCCAATAATTAGTTTTAACAAGGCTTTCGTTTCTTTTTCAATTATCACGAGCAGGGCAAAGTGTTTTACCGGAACTTAACATTTAAGATGCTCAATCGAATTACGGCCAATATCGTCGCGCTCGAGCGTTTACTTTAACGCGAAATTCGGATGATATGAGGTGCCGATATACGTAATCGAGCGCATTTATCATACGTCCTCTGCTCCCTTTAATCCAGCTTAATCGCTCGGCCTGATGATCCATCAAACGTTCCGAGTGTCGAATATGTTAAAAAGACAACGTGCTCGCTTTCCCTTTGTGCGAAAGTGAGGTTTGCTCGCAGTGAGGACTGTGAGATACGGTCGCGGCAATATCTCCATCCTCGTAAAGGTAAAAGGATTGACGCGAGCTCGCCTCAATAACGACACTATCATCTCAAGAACAACAACTGCCGTTTAAGCGCGAAACAATCTAACGATCATTAAAATAAAAATTTAACGACGCATTTTTTGCTCATTATCGTCTCCGTTAAATTATATTGATAGGATAACGAACGTTTCCGCGCCACATTACATTTACGAGGACGCTATAAAGGATATTTTTACCTTAATTGACGCGTATCGCTTATCCTGTGAAACAAAAAAATCGGGCCTTTCATTTTTAAAACTCGCTCTTCCTATACATTATCCCTGCATACGGGAATTCGACGGTTCTCGTTAAGTTGCTTTGGAATTTCATTAAATATATTTTGTAATCTTACTTTAAGGTCGTTCGAAATTATTATACTAACCCTATTATACGTATAATTTTTTCTTTTCAAATGTCCCATACTAGTGTATTAAAGTACAAAATTAAGTAAATTTCATATAACGCTCCATTTTATATGTTCCAACTAAGCTCCTAGAAATATTACTTTACGCTCATCTTTAATTTTCATCAATCGACTAAAAGAAATAAAAAAAAAAAAAAAAAAAAAAAAAAAAAAAAAAAAAAAAAAAAAAAAAATTAAAAGGAAAATCCAATCTTATCATTTTGATCATAAATTGCCGACCGACATACGCATAAATACTAATTAATCACTCAGTTTTTCTCGGAAAAATTTCATGCACGTAACGGCAAATGACGAATTTTCAGAAGAAAAAAAAAAAGACTCAATCAAGACTAAATTACAATTATTGCTTATCATTGAATTTTGCTGCTAAGAGCTCTCTACACACCTATAATTGTACACGCACATTAACATTACTTTTTATAAAATATTAACTTTGAATAAAAATGTCATATTTGATAAAAGAACGATAGAAATATAAGGGAAATTAATGTATAGGAAGTTTAATTTGATATTTGAGCACGGGTTAACGATTGCGGTTGCTGCATTGCGTAACGAAGCGCCGAGTTTTACTTATAAGCTGATGAAATTAATTTTGTAGCCATAACGACGAGTGCAGAAAGGTTGAAAATTTATTTTCATACTTGTTATCGCCGGATGTTCGGCCAATTATTCCCATAATATCGTCACTTTCAAACTAACCTTTGATATCACGGTGCAGCTTGCGCTCGCTGTGCAAATAGTCGAGACCTTTGAGGACTTCCCTAAGGATGACCGCGATGTGCATCTCCTCGAAACTGCCGGCTTTCATCAGGTCCAGGGCCGAGCCTCCGCCCAGATACTCCATGATGATCCATAATTTAGTGCCCTGCAAATACATGACACGAGGATGAATCAATAGTACTGTAGGCGGGAGTCGTTCATCTTGAAATTCGCGAGCTGTGTAACTTAATTGTATGCGGGAGAAGGAGGAGAGGGGAGTGGCTCAAGAAGGAGCGGGCGACGCTTAATGAGAAGCAACTCTATCCAAATATTCGCGTCATCTCTTGATTATCATCGTTAGGTTCTATTGTATAAAGCGCTTTAATTAGTTCAAGATTTTCCTGAAAACTAGTTTAGCAACGCTCGACGCATAACACCAGTGCGATATATCAAATTCCCGTATTAAAGGAAGTAATTTCACCGTCGAGTTTCATTTTCGTTACCTACGATACTTAATATCTACATGAAAATTGATTCACGAGAGCCTCAACATTTGTATCATTTTCCTACACACATCCATTGCTGCATTGGAATGCCCTTTCTTTCTTTTTAGAAATGTTTATTTTCTCTCTCTCTCTCTCTCTCTCTCTCTCTCTCTCTATCTCTTTATAATCGTTTCGAATTTTCTGCCCCTCTACCTCTATCGGGTCGAACGCACGAGCTCAGATATTTCAATCAGCCTCCACGCTTCTTTATACACAAAATGATGTAATAATCCTTAAGTAGATCATTAAAGCGTCGGGAAAGTGCGTAAAATGAGGCCTCGGGCATTCGTACGTAATGTCGGATTAAATAGTTAGTCGGACGATAGCCTGCGTTACATATTGAAATAGTTAATTGGGCGCTCGGGCGATAATGGAAAAAAGCATGGACGATGGATTCGCTGGAAAACACGAGAAAGACAGGGCATGGGAAAAGGAGGCCGCGCGTACCGCATCATTTGATCATCGCGGGAATACACGTCGGGCGCTCGTGGTCAACGCCTCGCGCGTCCAACGCTACATTCTCATAAATAAATCCGATGGCTCGATCTCGCGCCACGTACCTGCGCCCACCTCTCCGCACCTCGCGAATTCCTAGAAGAGGCCTTCGACGCACGTTCGGCTTGAATTCCCCGAGCGTACGGTAATACGATTACTCGCGCACGTATTATCGCCCGGTTCTCGCGTCCACGATATACGCGATCAAGCGCAAAGCGACCATCCGCGTTATCACCATTACTATTATTATTATTATTGTTGTTGTTGTTGTTGTTGTTGTTACTGTTGTTTTTTGTTATTATTGTTATATAGGAGGGGTCGACGAGTCGCCAGGGCGGTTGTTCGAGACTTGTCGGTGACGGCTTAGTGCGCGAGCTCGTGGACGGCAAGAGCAGCGACGAGGGCCTATCGCCGAGATCGAGGATCAAAGGTCCCTCGAATGTATGGCTGAGGTTATCGATCGGGCACACGAGACCTCGCACTCGTGCAATGGCGCTTCTCGGGCTTTTATCGACGCGGTGATTTTTCAGAATCCGTATGTATGCTCCACATTTCCAATGCCATACGCGAACGCGACCACCCGTTGGCATTTACTTAGGCTAGCCTCCCTCTTCACTTCGCGATGAAAGAGATGAAAAATTACCATTGGATTTGAAATATCGTAAGAAAGGCTAGAATAACGCGATTCGGACTCGATGCGATGAAGCGTGCCGCCTGGTCGTGTGCAACACACCAATCGTCTCCGTGTTAAGTGAATTTTGCAATATTTCGCAAAGCGAATCGACGTCATCATCGATTCTTTCAACATCACGTGGTATCCGCGGTACTCCACGTACATTACTTCCGAATCTCGGCTTTTTCATCGATGTTTGCCGCTGCTGTAGAATAATCTCAATTGCCGTGGATCTTTATAACGTAGCGGGAACGCGCTCGAGCCAACCACTTGTAACTCAACGTCGAATACGTAACGTCGGCACAAACTAAAAAAAGCAGAGATAAGTTTATACGAGATTTCACAATGTATAAATAAAGCCAAAAAACGGCATGGATGTATGCGCGCGCGATGCACGCGCATAAATGCAATGTGTAGGTGTGCACAGGAGTCACGATTTAGCTTTTATTCGTTCTGCCTCCATATAGAACTCACTTTCCACATCAAACCTTACATAATATCATATGAATCTTTGTGCCAGAATGTTGTAGCGAGCGTTCCTCTCTCTCTCTCTCTCTCTCTCTCTCTCTCCTTCGACACTCCTCCGAATAACGTAGCATTAAATATTTATCGCACTGAGGTGCTTAACGAGTCCTACCATTTGCTTCGAGATGATAAAAAAAAAATATTCTTTTTATCGTCTCTTGGATCGCGCAGGCTACGACGACACATTGACGCGAGATAACGAAGGTAGGAAGATAGGGTCGTTGTCGTTAATCTCTGCGATAAATGAAAGGACAGTCCTAAGACAGTGTGCGTGAGAGAGAGAGAGAGAGAGAGAGAGAGAGAGAGAGAGAGAGAAATTAAAACCGATAAGACATATCGAGCACTTCCAGTTGCCACTCCTCGGCCGTTTCTCCCGACTCCTTCCAAGTCTCGCTGAGCTCTCGCCAATGCACGAGAGCTAAAAAAAAAAAAAAAAAAAAAAAAAAAAAAAGAAACCCAAAGAAATTCTTCGTCTGAGAGTCCTCGACGTGTCTTTACACGAGCGCGAGTCGAGTTCATCCTCTCCCTCTCGACGCACGTGCTACGGGGCTCCCTCGTGCTTTCTCCGCGGAACCAGGAGCCGCCGACCCGGGGGCTTTCATCGTCGATTCCGTTGGGGTCACTGTCGTCATTATTACCATCGGAATAAGGAAGTCCGAGCGGCTTGTTGCGCAATGGTTGTGCGGGTGGCGGTGATTTGTTGGGGAGAGGTGGACACGCGCAGGAAAGCGACGACGAATTCCTGTGCTAAATGGCGCGTTTAAGTGGCAATCATTTTCTTTCCGACCGAGCATCGGGAGTAAAAAATCAACACCAACGATAAACATTTAAACGTCAAACTTTCGTTTCTGCTTCCCTTAACAATAAATAAACCAATAAGCCGTTACTCGTTCATACTTTTCATATTTGCCGACACTGACGATTACATTAGCGTCGAGTCAACGTACATTCATTTCTTTACCATTAATAATCTCGATTTACGCTATGGCGGCAATGGCAATGGTTGATCGATTGATTACAATACCAGATATCTTAAAATAATTTACCTTCTATATACTCTGTAAACTGCCTAATAAGAGAAGCCGATTAAATAATTACTTTTTTTTCAGCGCAGAATGTAATTACAATAAGTATGCGTTCGATGTTTCGCTAAGAGGTAAAATCATAAATTACTCGAATAGTGCGCGAAGAGTGAACGAGGTGGCTCTATGTTAATCCATTCCTTCTCTATGGACAATAGTTGTTAAAATTCTTAGCCGTAGCTGACATTGTAGCAATGCCGGTACCCCGCTAATATTTCAGTCCTTGTAAGGTAAAAGTCTTTTCTTGAAAATCGAGTTTCCTTATGGTAATAAATGAATTGTTAAAATAGCGAAGTCTCCATTGTCTTACTTTGCGTTGGGCATAAATTATTCCGCTCCGTGTAATTTAAATAAAATATAAAAAGATATTCCGCGAAACGTCCGCGTGGTATAAAAATGGAAGGAGAAAAAAAAAACAAAAAAAAAAAAAAAAAAAAAAAAAAAAAAAAAAACGAGAAGAAAAATTGGATGGAAAAAAAAGAATGAAAAAAATAAAGAGGAAAAAAGAAATAATCGAGATAAGATTTTTTTCTAGCGCTAGTTTCACTAGCACTGTAGATCAATCCCATAATAATTAAAATTTCGTTTTTATTTTATAAGTTTTATTACGTAAATGCTCCTTCCTGGCTTATCTCCGAGGAGAGCTCTAGAGTAAAGAAAAAAATGAGCAAAATTTTTACAAACTCAATCGATTAATATGATTTTATCAAGAGTCGAAAGCGTGAAAAAAAAAAAAATGGAATAAAACATAATTGGAAGATAGATCGAAAGCACTCAAAATTTACCAATAATTACGATGTTAAGGATGTTTATTATTATTTATAAAGCCGTGCGTGTATTGTAATTGCAATGGTGCGGGTAAGTTTATTTTTTATAATTTTTTTTTTTAAGCTGCCAATAAAGAAAGGTGCTTCCGCGCTCTTGAGCGGGATATTTACAGCACGGAGTGCAAATCTTACGGCATATCGAGAATCGTTTCGTCCGAGGTTACCTGAAAATGCCTTTCCTCGCGAGTTTATTATTCTTCAAAAATTCATTCGACTATATTTATTGTTGCGAGAGGCAATGTCGAGGAGGCCGGGGCAATGGTGAGGGAGGTAGGAGGGCCCCGTTTCGAATCTGGAAAATCGTATAAGCGTACGCTTCACCTCCATCCGCGTATACGCTCGTGCACACACGACGACGACGACGACGACGACGACGACGACGACGACGACCTAAAGTGCGTATAAACAACTCGCGTTGCCGTTGTTCTATCGCTGCGCGAGTCTCAATGATCGTGAAAGTTTCGAGAGCAGAGCATATATATTTATTGCTCGCCCGCTACCTCAACATCAATTTTTCCAGGGTCGCGAGTCAAGCGACGAACTAGGCGTTGCTCATCACTTTTCGAGCCCGAGAAAGGATATAAAATATTTTCTTTGCGTTATTGCCCAACGAGGGTATTGCAGTTCGAAACCAATTATTATCCAAAATGTTTTAGTTCCTTATAGCTCATAAGTGTGCGCGTGTGCGGTCGATAATTCAAAAATATAACTTTTAGTATGAAGTAGTATCGGGAATTTAATGGGCTGGTATATTTTCGTATTCGTTGTTGTTGTGCGGCCGAGGGTGAGAAAGAAAGGTGCGCGCGACAGGAGTCCGTGTAATAAAGAGAGGAGCGACCTTACTTCGTCAAAAGAACTATCGACAGCGTTGGACGCGAAGCGACCAGGCAGAGCTACGTCCTTAATATTTTACAATCGCGTACCTACGCGCACCAAAGGCCACACTCAGCATGTGTCATCAACATATATCACGAACAAATTGCAATAACGAAATAAGATCTGGAATACTTAATGACGGG